CTGGATTATTTGCTATACTGATGCAGCCCATTTTATCCTCGTATATTACAATCGGTTCGGAAATATGTATATTAATACTAAACGCTAATGATTTTATCCAGAGTGCCTCTTTCACGGCTTCAAAGAGAGCCATATATACTGCTTCTGTAAACGAAGTAGCTACCGATGCTTGTCTTTTCGTATTCCAACTGATGGTACATTGTTCGTATAACTTAAATAAATATCCAGTTGTACTTTTCCGATCCGTTTGTTCACTACCTCCCCAATCAGAATCGACATAACCACTCAATATGGTCTTATAGTCGGTTCTAGTGTAAGTTAATTTAATATCAGCTGATCCTTTAAGGTATCTGAGAACTCTTTTAAGGTTTTGCCAAAGTTGTTTGTTACTTTTATTTGAGTACCGACTCAGGGTATTCACAGCAATACTCATATCGAGTCTTGTACAAACCATTATATACATCAAATATCCAATTAAATTTCGGCAGGGTGCATCATATTTTTCATCCAAATTCAAAGCTAAGTGATCTAACACAGTAGGAAGAGGTGTATTAACGGGCTTGAAATTTTGCATATTTAACCTTTGAAGAATAGTTTTGATATATGAACTCTGATCTAATGTTATTTTTCCTTTGATTCTCTCAACTTTAATTCCTAAAAATCATTTAATTTCATTTAAGTCTTTCATGCAAAACTTATTCATTAGATAACTCTTAAAAGCTCTCATTTTCTCTATCCCAGCAGTTACAATCACAAGATCATCCACATATAGTACCACATATATATTCTCCAAATATTCTTTTTATCCAAAATATAAATGCAAGGATCTACTGACGAATTTCGGAATCCTTTTTCTAAAAGGGCTTTATCAAACATCTCGAACCAACATCTAGCAGATTGTTTTAGACCATATAAAGTTTTATTCAATTTGCATACTTGATTACTATTGCTTTTTACGCCTTCAGGAACCCTCATGTAAATTTCCTCTTTTAACACACTGTTGTGTACAGGTGCCTTGATCAGTACGATGTTATTTATTTATCGTAAAAAAGGTTTTAATGGATTGTGGAGGAATGTGAATCAATGTGAATCGAATAATTGTTGTTCCTTTATTGTTAATTGTATAGCACGCTGTTGCGTTGTTGCTTGTGGGTTATCGCCCCGATGCTGAGCTGCTTGATGATTGCGTTGCTTGTCAATCGATGAGATGTGGCTATCATTGTTAAGTAATTTTATAATTACAGTCAATTTCTCCCACTTTTCTTTATATACACTCAATCCCTGATGCGCGTTTTGAATGCTCGATAAAAATCGCGTGAAACCTTTCGGTTATTCTATCACATTTTTAAGAACACTAAATGCAAAAAATTTTACAAGTGATAGTTTTTATAAAGATATACATGTTTATGCTGTTATTTGGAAATTATTATTTATAATAGATTTGATGAATAGTTTATTAATTCAATTACATATGCAATAAAGATATTGCACAGAGATTGTTATTGCTATTCAATAAAATACACTTATTTTTTATTAATTTGATTGAAAATATTGTTGCTGAATCGGAAAATTTTTCTCCTATTATTGTACCTATATCAGTTGAAGCAGTTGGGTAATTAAATAGAGTATCGGTACGAATCATTTTGCGTCCTAAAATATAAATATTATTTATTTGTTACGCGGAAATGTTCACGTGTAGTTAAATTCGCGTTGATTTCCGAATAACGTAAGAATTCGGCCTATTGAATTCTTGTGATTGTATTAAAAACAAGGATTTCCAAGTTTTGGAAAGAATAACTTTTATTTAAAACAGATTTACGTTCGGATACAAAACAACTTACAAGCGTAACGGCCAGGATAGAAGAGAGTTTCGGATGTTGAAGGAGCCCCTTTTTAGGGAAATCGGAACAAGGAATGTTCTAGAAGAAGGGCGTTTTTTCATAAGT